AAGGTGCGGAAAGGGATGCGGGTCGCTTTGTCGCGCCTTCCTCAACCGGCCAGACGCGGCTTGTGCCGGTCTTCCTTTCTAAGTTGTCCCGCATGCAGTATACTTGTCCATTTTCTGTTCAATTCTGGTCCAGCCATAAGATGAAGTGAGGCCTCAGTGAGAAGCAACTGAAATTGCACTCGCAGTTAATGACGAGATGACAACTCGGACGATGCTCAATAGACGGCCGTGCGGTTCCTTAGCAGCGCTTAGTTAAGCAGTTTCAACCTCCACTGGACTACTCGGTATAGCTGTTGCAAATCTTACTCTAGAATCGGGTTGGAATCGCCGGTCTATTACGTCGTTCAACGGCACAAAGTGCAAAGGTCTGCTGCAACTTGCCGTGGTGGTTGCATCTTTTGCCTATGCGAGCTGTCGTCAACGAGTTGGCATGTACTGGAATCCAAAAGAATTGCACCAAGATCCAAGATGTCTCCTTGGACGCCTTTTAAAAGTCTTTGAACATCGTCTGAATACTGGGCGTGAGTGAATGCTCCTGGCCTTCCGTAGGCGCAGTTGGTCCCTGAGAGTCTGTAGAAAGTACAAAGTAAGATATGTTGTAGAGCCACTTTCTTTTAATGTTTATGCCTGCCATCAACCCTTTTGTTGCTTTAGCGCACGCTCGTTGTCATTCAGTGGGGTTTTGGCTTTGTTCCCAATCTTGTTTTGACGCCTTGGGGTGTGGCTGTTCGGAGGCATTGCTGGTGGGCAGCGCGGGTTAGTGTCCGCGAAGGGATCGGGTGTCTCGATTATCTCAGCATCTCGTTTTCCCTTCTTGGCGGATCAGGCTCTCGCCTCTCGTTTTGTCCTCCTTTGTCCCTCTGGCATCGTCCAAGGCAAAGGACATTGTCGTCCTTTTGTATGCCGCACAACAAGTCCCATAGCAGACGCGATAACCGTTCCAGAAACGGCGGTGTTTGTTTATTGGTCGTAAGATGTTTTTCGGGCTCTTGGCCAGCCCTGCTTTAATTTTACCCAACGGATTAGCGCATTGGCACCCATTAGGTTGCTAGGCAAAACGCACCTTGCCCAGGCCTCGCTCGGGTGTTCGTTTCAAGGTTGCGGTGGTCTCCTTAAATTAAACAATTGAGGCTCTGCAAATCATTTCGCAGCCTGTGCATTGCAAAATTACCGACACTCTAAGACAGCTTGCCGCCCTCCAAACTGTGTTCTTGTCCCTCGGTCACTAGGCAGATACATTGTAATCTAGGATGGAAAAGATAATGGCAAGCAGATATATGGGGCCGGGGCCACAAAATTCCCATTTCCCGGATTCGTTGGCGAGCCGCAGACTACGCCGCAACTTTATGTTTATTCTCCCGCTCTCCATCCCAATGTCCCATGCGAGCCAGTCATGCTCATTCGCTCCTCTTCCTTATTGTTTGCTTTTTGTGCGATTCTAGGGTGTTTTGGCCCAGCAAAATATACCGACCATCAATATTCTTCCATACGCTCCTTTGTCAACTCTTAAGCAGTAAAAAAAAGAAAGAAAAAAAAAGAAAGAAGGAAAGAACAGCATCGTTTGTGGCTTCAGGCCCTTTTTCTACAGGTCTTTATTTGGAGGTGGACGTGAGACGGCAACGTGCATTAGTTTCGTGGCTTGGTTTGGGATTTGACCAACCACTCGACGCTGTGGCGGTCCTCCACCCGAGCGTACCTTGTCAGCTTGGACGACGTGTTCCCAGAGGAAATGAACTGTTCAAAAATGTCAATGTAAGATACTTCTGTATGCCACTGTCCTTTCGTTATTCGTAAGAGTTCACTCAACCTCAGGCAGGGACCAGACCTGAGTAGCAAGTATGAGGAAAGAGAAAAGAGATGGTGCTTGGTTGACTATCCTACTATCCATACATGTAGATATCATGACGAAACGTTGAACTGGTTAGATGTGATGCTGATTTACGCTGTATCGTTCTAGACCTTCCATCGGCCTTGCGATTCTGTAGGACTTTGCCTTTGTCGGCCTGTTTGTGGTACTCGGCACAGCACATTTCATGAACAAAACAAGGGTGGTGTGGCTCAGACAGGGATCCGATCATAACGCATCATGTTATGCAGTTATCCTTGGAAAGGGTGACTCAGGACTGTAGGTGACATTGAGCCCTACATACAACATACTTTGCTGGCTATGTTATTTGGTGGCTTTTTTTGTTACGGGAGCTGTCTCGGCATGGTAGTTGTAATTGCGACAGGGGGCTTTGTCAAAATCTGCCTGTCGTCTTCACAGTGTTTGGATGCAAGCCTTGCCATGTCCAGTCCCAAGAACGCGCCAGCACGCGCCGTGCTCACAGGTTGGCATTTCTTTGTGCTCGATTGGTAGTGGAGATTTTTAACTTTGGGATCGTCGCCGCCAACGAGCCGTCCGTATTACAGCCTCTTTCAACGGCGGCTTCAGGATGCTTGTGCCTTTGTCGTGTCTTTTTCTGTGTGGACTACACAAAGATGTACTTCCTGTTCCTTCTATGTTGTACCGTGTTTGTGGGCATTTCATTCCTCCGATGTACGTCGTAGATTGGTTTGCTCTGGCCCGTGAGGCTGAAAAAGAGGGGCGGTTGCAGGAAGAGCAAAGCCTCTGAGCTGCGATTGTGCGAGTTTTGATCTGCGGTTTCCTTTCCTCGTTGCCATCCCCCCCCCCCCCCTCGTTAGCCCCTACTCGGTACAGAGAACACCAAGACCCAAGACATGCAAGCTCCATGATCAACACGAAATACGCCCAGCCTGACGGGGTCCCAAACATGTGCAGAGTACGATGTACATGTACAGAGTACGTAGAAGGAAATGAAACGAATAAAACTGCAAACCGCCTCCCCAGATTCCTTGGTCCTCGTCTTGTCCATTCGTTCTGCTTTCACTGTCACCCAGCAGTCTGTTCTGTGTAATTCGAGGTATTAACCACCCACGCTTCTCTCCCTCTCTCTCTTTTCTTACAAAGCAGGGGCGTGTCTCTTTTGGATTTCGCTTCTCCTTATTCCGCATTTTCATCGCCTGTCCTTCCGTCTCTTGCTGCTTGGTCGTCTTTTCTTCGACAGGGTCTCGTACGCCCCGTCCTTCTCAACGATCGACGACTTCAACTTCACGACACCTCCATACATTTGATTTACGCCTTTACACAATAGGCCTCCGTCCACTCCATCACCCTCGGGCGTCGTCGATGACATTGTTGCCACGATGGACTCCCAGTTCACCTACATTGTCAGCAATGCTGCGCTCACAGGCATCATGATTCTGCCCGTGCTCGTGATCTGGGTGCTGTTCCTGTTCCAGGCCAGGCGGCGCCAAGACCCCGTACGCGACGGCGTCGCATGGCTCAAGGCCAGCTTCTTCTTCTTCTTTCTGAGTCTGATCATCACAACCGCGTCGGACGGCGCCATTGCCGCCGTGATCAACGACCCCTCCAACTTGACCGCCAGCACATTCAACTCGCTGGTCAAGGCCTCCGACTATCTGTCCATCGTGGCGGGCTACCTGGAGCAGCTGTCCATCATCCTCACGCTGGTGGCCCTGATCGAGCTGGCCTACGGCTTCTATGTCGCGCTGCAGCCGGCGGCGCACGACGCAGCGAACAGCGCCCCTGCTGCCGACGCGACGAAGGGCGACAGCGGCGCCGCGGCGACCCGTGGCGAGGACAGCCGCCTGGCCCATCACAAGATGGTCCGCATTGCGACGGCCGTCGTGGGCGTCGTCCTCCTGGCCCTGTCGACGGCCTGGTTCGGCAAGGGCGCGGCGGCGTACGTCAAATACAACAACGCCGTCTACAGCGACAACAGCGACAACAGCGACAGCAGCAACGCCAGCTACAACCGCGCCACCGCCGAGTACGTCGCGTCCGTCCGCATCGGGCACAAGCTCGGCGGCGCCTTTGACATTCTCGTGTTTGTGCTGTCGCTGCCGCTGCTGGGCGCGGCGGGCTACCTGGTGAGCCGCGCCCAGGGCCTGCCCATCAAGAACACGACGGTGCTGTACCTGGTGGCCGTCGTCTTCTGGTTCATCCGCTTCCTGTGGCGCCTCGTCTACAATGCCGTCTGGCTGCTGCCGCCCACGACCATGTATACGCCCCTCTGGCTCAACGTGGTCGACCCGCTGCTCAACGTGTGGACGTTTGTCATCACCATCATCCTGCTGTACATTGTGGGCGTCCGCCGCGCCGGCGGCTTGTGGTCGACGCCGCAGCCGTGGACGCAGTTCGCCGCGGACGGCATGTACGGTGGCGGCTACCAGCCAGGCGTCGCCCCCGCCGCCGGCGCCCCCTACCAGTACAACGGCTACAATGGGTACAATGTCAAAAACAACAACGCCAACTACGGGCCCGTGCCCCCGGGCGCTCCCGTGTATCAATTGCCGGGCCACGAGGCGCCGCGGCAGCAGTTCCACGAGATGCCCAACCCGGCCGCCGCCGTCTATCCCCAGGAGATGTACGCGCCGCAGATGCACGGCAGCGTCCCGCCGCAGCAGTACCAGCCATACCCCCCTCCGGCAGTGGCCTCCCCGCCCCAAGGCCATGTGGCTCCAGAGACGTCGCCGTCGCCCCTGACCGAGTCGGCGAACGGCGTCAACGCGACGCCTCCCCCGCCGTCCGGAACGAGTGCGTCGCCGCCTGCCGAGGTCAAGGCATGATTCGGTTGGTATCATGACGACGCTCCAAGGGGCTGAAGGCCATGGTCTAAAAAAGACCAAGACGAATTGAGCGAAGAGGGGGCGTGGAGTGGTACGATGCCATGCTGGTGACTTGTCGTCGCCGTCTAATAATGCTTTGGCAATTCCCTGTTCTTTAGTTCTTGTTTCCTTTTGTCGTCTCTACGTGTTCGCTTTCGTCCCTTATATATATCCCGCTTGCGACATGCACTAAATAAATACGATAAACAAAGACATGGCATGAGACTCGACGCGAGAATCGGGATGGATGTTTGTTTGTCTAAGTCTATGGACGTCTACCGGGTTTGCTATGGGCCGTCTGTCTAGCTCTAGCTCTCCTCGCCGTTGACAGGTTTCTCCGTCGTAAACGGCTCGTTCTTGCCCCAGACCTTGGCGATGAACCTGGAATGTTAGTCTGCATCAAGGCATCAAAGCATAACGTCAACAAGGACCACCATTGACTCACTTCGTATGGCTGCCACGTGCCGCCACTTCGCCCTTTTCGTTCGTAAACGTGATCGACGTGTACGCCAGTGTCTTGCCGACTGGGTTGTCAGTCCTTGAGTTTGGGGTGCATGAAACTGTCAGGGGTGGAGGAGCCCTACTTCTGTCCAAAACGGCCGTCGCCTTGATCTTGTCGCCCACGGCGCCGCCGTTGGCCAGGTACGTCACGTTGATGTCCGTCGACACGCCCGTGTTGAAGACGCCGTGCGACGCCACGGCCAGCGAGCCGCCAAGGTCGACCATGCTGGCAATCGTGCCGCCGTGAAGGATCTTTAAGCGGTTCTTACAATGCGTTAGAGGGAGAAACAGCTCAACAGTCCAGGTGCACCGCAACACCAGCCACACTTACTGTATGCTGCTGGGCAATGTCCAGCTCAAAGTCGACCTTGCCGGGGACGGCATGGGTGACGCGCATCTATGGCAAACAACAGTCAGTGACGCCAACGTCGACAGGATTCATCCGCACGAGGCCACATACGTGAGGTCCAAACAATCTGGAAAACGACGGCGGTCAGTATACACTGATCATTCGCGGGCTTCCACGGGGGGCCACATCACCGGCCACTCACGTCGGCTCAAGACCAGACTGCCTCATAAAGTCGCTCAGCACCTGGACACGGTCAGCATTGAGGTTCTTCGGTTTCGTGATGCCGTCCACAATTTGTAAGAGACGTGCTCCGGTCCACTTACAGCCTTGACGAACCTCGTTGGGTCCAGCTTGCGCGCGGCCATGTGAATCTGCGTGAGCAGGGTGCTTGATAGATGAAGGTAAGGACGGGTTGGCCCAATATCGCAGGCAGCAAGTGAACGACGAGGAGAAGAGAAACTGTGAACAGCACAAATTGATGAATGAGGTCAAACGTTGGCTTCTGGTTTGCACTTTCCCGGTTGGTATATGCCCACCTTCTCGGTCTGCGGTTCCGGGCTCCCTGCTGTAAATCGAATCATTTTCGGGTGATATTTGGGGGACTCGACCACTGTAATTCGCGCATTAACGCCCGAGGAGCCGACATATCCACTTTTACCTTCTCTTCAGGCTTGCCCCCGCAGCACGCTAAATATGCCGGCCGTAAGGCGCTGTGGCGGCTGTGACACGTGAACTGCGAAAACAGCTCCAGGCGGGCGAGGCGCTAATCTCGTTGTAGACAGGCAGGAAAAGAGCTTGCCAACGTGCGTGCATCCATTGATTGTCAAAAAGCACCACCAACCTGACGATCACGAGACGCAAAATATCGCGACCACCTCGACGGCCACAACCCCGACATATCTCCCCTATACCACTTTGACCGCCGACCAGACTGCGTGTCCTCCTCTCTACCATGCGATAGCGGTCACGACCGTCCGAGGCCGTCCGACTGCGACCTCTTCGACTTCGACCTCGCTCGCCATCCCCGTTCACGTCCCGTTTGGGGACCCCCTCTCGCACCATGGCGACCGCTCCCTCCCTCACCCTCTCCGACTACCTCGAGAAGCAGCCCGGCACCAGCTTCCGCCGCCTCTACCAGCAGCCGTCCACCACCCTCGCCATCTTCCGGCGCATGCTGACCCCCCTCGCCAAGACCTTTGTCCGCATGATGCTCTACCTCGACGGGCCGCTGCTGCTGGACACGCTCGACACCATGGTCGCCCCGGACGCGAAGCGCCAAAAGGACCAAGCCCTGTCGATTCTGCGGTCGCTCCACGTCGTGCAGATCACGCCCGCCGTGCGCGACAAGCCCCAGGAGATTATGCTGACGGCCAACTTCAAGAACTCGTTCCGGCTCGCGCTCGAGGGCGGCGGGCGGCAAAACAGTTTCGGCGTGCCGAGCGAGAAGCCCGTGTCGGCCGACATTGACATTCCCTTTCTCGACCGGTTTGCGCGGCGCAAGTGGGAGGACATTCTGCACTACGTCGTGAACAGCGTCGGCATCCCGGGGTCGAGCAGCGGCGGTGGCAGCAGCTACGAGGGTGGCGGCGGCGGCGGCGGCGGCGGCGGCGGTCCCAAGAGCACGGTCAAGGACCTGCTGCTGGCCGGCCGTCTGGTGGAGCGGCGCACGGGCATGCCGGGGGGCGTGGGCATCACCCAGACGGGCTTCACGTTTTTGCTGCAAGCCGCCAACGCACAGGTCTGGACGCTGCTGCTGCAGTGGCTCGAGGCCGTCGACCAGCACCACGCGTCGTCGGACGGCGGCACCGTCGACAGCGTGGACATGCTGTCCTTTTTGTTTATGCTGTCGACGCTCGAGCTCGGACGCGCCTACGACACCAACGCCTTGACGGAGCCGCGCCGCGACATGCTGCCCTCGCTCATGGACTTTGGCCTCGTCTACATCCCGCCGCACGAGCGCGCCTCCCAGTACTTTCCGACACGGCTGGCGACCACGCTGACGGGCGGTGGCGATGCCGACGCCGCCGGTGCAGGTGGCGGTGGCGGTGGCGGTGGCAGTGGCAGTGGCAGTGGCGGCGGCGGTCTCCGCAGCGTCAAGGCCGGTTTTGCGGCCGCCACGGCCGACAGCGTCGCCGCCGCCGGCCTGCCCCCCGTCTCCGGGGTGGACGCGCCGGCCGCCCGCAAGGGGCAGGGCAGCATCATCATGGAGACCAATTTCCGCATGTACGCCTTCACCTCGTCGCCGCTCCAAATCGCCGTCCTCGCCCTCTTTGTCAAGCTCAACCACCGGTTCCCCGGCATGGTCGGCGGCAAAATGTCGCGCGAGTCCATCCGCCGCGCCATCTCGTACGGCATCACCTCGGACCAGATCATCTCGTACCTGGCCGCCAACGCCCACGAGCAGATGCACCGCTACGCCGCGGCGAACCACCGCCCCGTGCTGCCGCCCACCGTCGTCGACCAGATCCGCCTGTGGGAGCTCGAGAACGAGCGCATGAAGTCGAGCAAGGGGTTCCTCTTTAAGGATTTCGACACCCCGCGCGAGTACGAGACGATGGCCCAGTACGCCGACGAGATTGGCGTGCTGGTCTACCGCAACGACAAGAAGCGCCACTTTTTCGTCACGAAGCACGAGCAGCTCGTGGCCTACCTCAAGGCGCGGAAGAAGGCAGAGGCCTAACGGACGAGCTCGGGTTTGCTTTTTTGGTCCTTTCTTGTTTGTCATTTTGCGTGGAGTTTGGCGGGACAGGTTAGGCAATATCAAAAGACGCAGGGCGGTTACTTAATTTCCGCGGATGCAGGAGTTCAGTAGAACAAAATACAACATATCATATCTTGTACACTTCTCGATACGACGTAAACGGGCCTGGGGAATGCATTGCTATTGTAGCATCGATGCCACGCATGTGATATGTCGTTGTCTTGTTTGTTTCACTCCACGACGGGCATGTCCATGGCAAAGCAACGAAACATTCGATGCAATAGAAACCGCACTTTAGGTCGTTACTTCTCTTTCACATACTTTACTTGCCTTTACAACAGGGCAAGGTGCACAAGTCTTCCTAAATGGCATCCCTCGTCTGATTGGCCACTTCAGCCCATTCGACGACTAACATGGCCGAACAGTAAACAAGATGCACAGCAGAGCTGTAAGGATTGTCGTTCTGAACCATGTTTCTGTACATCGATTATGAAGCGAGACATTTAACAATATATCAAACTCCGGTGCTTTTATGAGACGTCCCAAGATCAGGCCTGATGCATATGCGTTTTACCATGGATACCGAGCTGAATACTTTGATATTGAGACCATGTAGCCACTAACATCAAGATGTCCATGGACGAATTCTAAACATTACTTTTGCTATAACACCCACTCACTTTCTCTCGTGTCTCTCTTTTCTTCTTCACCCTCCCTCTCTATCGAAATCTCTTTCATATCCTTTTTCTTATTTCATCGTGGTATGTGTCTCTCTGTCACGCACGCTTCCAATTGACCTAAACGCCAAAGCTTAGCCACAACTTGTCCCAGATGTTAGGAATCATTTTTCCAACTTGTCTCACAACCATGAAAACTCTTGCATCTTCCACCGGGCAGATCTCCCAGGAAGAGCTGCCTTCCAATAACGGCAGTGTGCCTCCGCCAGGACGTAAGTGTCGGGGAAGGCATGACTATGGTGGGAGTTCAAGCACCCCACCTTCCACGGGGCAGGTAAACAGCCCTACGACCACGACTAATGGCAAGAGCAATCCAGGGCCTACCACAGCCATAGACGTTGCCAAAAGCGTCCATAAACAAACAGACAAATTTGTCCAGCGCCGTCTCGTCATGGAAAGACGTAGTCGCTGTTGCGGAGCTGCCTCCGTTGCGATACCTCCATCTCCTGTCACGATTCCTGCACCTGCCGTCCCAGTCGAGATTACGGCACCTTCGAGGCCTGTCTCCACGGTTACGGAGAGCGGCAACAACTATCAGTGATTCCTGGAAATTCTGCAAGCTGACGTCCGTCTAGCCGATGATGACAACCAACAACATTTGTACCGACAGCGAAAACGACACGGCCGACCTGCCGGTCCTTCGTTACATCTCCTATCCCATCAACAACAACATCAACAACAACATCGGTACCAACCTCAACTACCATTCATCGAATCCGATACAGTGGACGCAGGGTCTCGACGACTGCTTCGAAGAGAAGGTGACAGGCTTGCCGGCCGGTTATCCATTTCAGCCCCAGGCGCCGCGACCTAAGACGATGGCTTTCCGCCGTCGACGGACGGCGGCACTCCGCCAGAAGAAGTGGAAACGACTTCGGGAGCGGACGCATGCAACACGAAAGATTTTGCGCATGGCGAGCACCAATCGCGCGGTCTGTCTCGGCTTTCCGATGGATGCCAATGACAAGGAAGGTGAACACAAAATAGAAGTTACGAATGAAGACAGCCGCCCATTTCCAGAGTTGGTATCGTGTTCCGGATCGCCAGATTTGGACGCGGACTTTGACACTGCTTCGACTGGACCACCCGATCCTGGTGCTAGGGCTGCTTCCGGTGCAGGTCACAGCTACAATGAGCGTGACAACGGAAATACAGATCCTGGAGACAGCTACGACGAGAGCGAGTCGGATCTCGAGCGTACTGGCGGCGTGTCTCTGCTCGAGTTTGCTGGCCTCCAAGCCCAGCTGCCAATGGAGATGGGTCTTCAGGACGACTCTGGCGACATCTCAGATAACACCGACATCCACAGCCCAGATTCGTCCTTGGATGCCACTCCACGCGCCGTCCAAAGTGCCAACGTGCCGGGCGAAGAGCCATTCCAATCCGATACAGCCTCCGACCCCGGCTCCTCTACCTCTGATTCTTCCAGCAGAAGCGGTGGAGTCCAGTTCGTTTTGTATGACTTTACGTCGCCGGTGAACAGACGGAACCGGCAAAAGAACAAACGGCAAAAGAACAAATGGCAAAAGCTGGTCCACAAAGAAAGGACCATCCACAAGCTGCAGGCGCATCAGTTCCGGGCGCCGGATTGGACATGGATGCAAATGCAGCTGGAACGGCCCACGCGGCGAAGGGTGCACGACGACAGCCACCCCGGCTCGGCTCGTCTGCAACGTCAGCGCGCACTGATGGCTGCCGCGCCCCTCTCCTCTCCGTTCTATGGCTTAGACGATGAGCCCGGAGGGAACAACGATATGAACGTCAATTTGGTCTGCTCCTTGGACGATCCAGAATTCCTTGCGATCCACAACCAGATTATGGTGGAACGGGAGTTGAGACGACAGATTGGTCGCCGGACGGTCCAACACGATACACAAATGGTGTATCTACAGATTCTACTGCAACAAGTGGCTGCCGGTCAACCGCT